ACAACAGGCAAGACAGATAAAGATAAGCACAATTAATAATCACCACCCAACATAAACAATCCCCAGCATAAACCCCTTAGTCACATCCCCCAATATACTCATAAACACAACTCCTCCATACATGAGGGTCAGCGCATAGAGCTCTGACACGGCCCCGCAGCACCCTGCCCCGTCTCACATTACGGAGGAGCCGATCGCAACCGACTGATGGACCTTTGTCCTACATAATATTTATATGCCTGACCGGTCTTTACCAGCCTGGTTAATAGTTGGGATGGTTCTCAGCCCATTCAACTGCCCGTATAGTGGACCTTTGTCCTATATAATATTTATATACCTGACCGGTCTCTACCAGCCTGGTTAACAGCCGGTATGGTTCTCAGCCCATCCGACTGCCCGTATAGTGGAACTTAGTCCTATATAATATTTATATACCTGACCGGTCTCTACCAGCCTGGTTAACAGCCGATATGGTTCTCACCCACCCAACTGCCCGTATAGCCCGATTGATCTTAACCAACTCGGGGTTACATGCACACATAACACATAGCAAGTACATGCAACCCACATTAACACATTGGGAAGGGGGAGAAAACGTATAACAAAACCTATGCGTGATCCATCACATACTAGGAATAGTCCTAAGGGGTTCATACTTCTTCCACCTAGGTCAATTCAACGGGATACCAATTCAACTAGCATGCAATATAATAGACTCATAAACCTACGAACGGTACCCGAAATATCAAACTAGACAAAGGCACGATTAACGGAGTCCGTTGGGACACCACGGGGGACGGGGAAACATCAAACGGGGAAGCCGAGATCCCGAGGGGGATAATTTTCCAGCGGGTAGCCGGTGGGTGGGGGGCCACCCGCCGGCTGCCCGCCGGGCATTACTGTTCCGGGCAGCGGGTCGCTGGCGGGCAGCTGCCCGCCCGCTGCCGGAGATGTGTTTTCCGGCCGTGGGTAGGTGGCGGGTCCCCTACCCCCCCACCTACCCCCCACTGACTCTTATCACACAATTTCGCCCCGGGAACCATTGTGGGACCCGAAACCATGCTTAGACACTTTACAACGCAATTAACGACAACACGTAGACAATTAACGGATCAAATACGAGAAACGAACGGCACATAACCTATCATGCTTTTCTAAACATAATCAACACCCAAACATGCAATTTCCCCACCCGATAAACCAAGAATAATATCATACGATACAACCTAGGGTTCTAGTCACTTTTATATCAACAAGAATACGGTTCGTCTTCTAATTGCAAGATTCGGTAAGAATAACACGTAAGCATCAAGAACAACACACAACTATCAAGAACATCATATAATCATCAAGAGCTCCATATAATCATCAAGAACACCACAACTATCGAGAATCTCCCAATATCAAGATTACCAAGATCCCCCATGGGATCATCACATCAATCATCAATAATATCATCACGAATCCGCAATATACAATAATATGGGGAAACCCTAAGGGGGAATCATAACTATGAAAATAGGTTTTGTTGAGACATGGGTTACCTCTTAGCCTTAATTAATTCCTTGGCTATGAAGGATCTTTCTTTAAGCTTTCTTGATTTCTTGATTTCTCCTAAGGGGATTCTTGGAACTCTTTGGGTGGTGAGAGATTTATTGTGGTGGGGATTCTAGGTGCCTCCTAAGTTCCCTATTTATATATTTAAGACTCCTAGTTAGGGCCTGAATGGTATGGGTTTACTAATTCTATTCCTTATAGGGCTAGGGCTTGTTTTAGGGATAAGGGTCCATGGTCCATAGTGGACCATATTAATTAAAGAGGATCCTAATCATAATCTGAATAGTAAAAGGCCTACTTCATTTATTCCTAACAGGCTTAAGATTCTTATTCGGGCAAGGGTCCACGGTTCATGGTGGACCTTACTAATTAATTAAAGGTAAACCTAACATAATTAAATCATATTTAATTATTATTAACGGGATTAATTAAATAATTAATCCGGGATTGAAGGCCGTAACACGGGGTGTTACACTCTCCCCCCCTTACGAGAAGCTTTGTCCCCGAAGCTTGGAAATCATTACAGGGTTAACGAGTCAAGAGAAGAACCGTGGTCCTATAGAGAATGTATTCCACAGGGAAATTGTATACTTGCACGCCTATGTGTGTTGGGTTTTTGGGAACGATTAGGTTTACAGGGCTAAGAGAGTGGGTTTCAAACTTGAGGACACGGTGAAATCAGGAATTAGAATCAAGTTTTCGAGGTTGCAACTTAGGTTGTGAGGTTGCCACTTGTATGGAATCGTTAAAACATGGGATTGAGAATGAGGTCTGAAGGGTAGAAAGGGTTTTGAAATAAGGAAGGGGCCGATTTTCCGAGGGAGGGAAAGGAATTCGGCTAGGATGGGTTAAGGTTTCTCGATCCCAAGTGAATAATCTGGTTAGATGCTTTGAACACGATGCGCCGACGAGCTGATGATCCTCCTTCCTTGGTGTTGGTGCTTGCTTGACTTTAAGATCCTTGTTAGACCTTGCTTCCCAGGCTAAGGTTTCATCCTTCTCTTCTTTCTTGAGGGAATTTCCCGTGGTGATTCAACACTTACTTCTTTAATGCGCCCAAGGTCTTGACCGAGTTGGGTCAACCAAGCCAATCTCTTAGGGCGCACTTCCCAAATTCTTCCCAAAGTCTCTTGGGAGTCGATGGACTTTGGGTTGAATTTCTCTTCTTATTGAATTTCATCTCCTCTTTAGTAGATGAAATTCTTAGCAAGACTTCATGTCTTACCCGAGGTTCGGCATTGTTGTGCCCTGTTTGTGTTATTTTTAATGATGAAGGTGTCCTTGCGTGCCCTTTTTCTTTTAAAGCGCAGTCGGTTACCAAATCTCGTTGTGGGATGACTCGGCGACTTTACGAGTCACCTCATTTCCTTGTGGGTCCTTAATGACCCTTGAAGTCTTGGCGCGAATGTGTTCTTCACCCTTTTGCTTAGCACCATGGGCTACGTAGTTCTTGATTCCATACAACTTGTAAGGAGTCCTCTGATTTGCTCGAACGATGTCCATGGTTTGGAGGAGTCCCGGTCCCTCCTTAGCATTTTGACTTTTAAGGTTTTCGTGGGTTCTTAGTACGAGTTCCCAACTCGCTTCCTTGGTTTGCGCAATCCTTTACGCCAAACATCCCTAGTCGGTTGTATCGTAGGATCCGATTTCAATTACTCGTGCAATGTAATTGATTGTGATTTCCCGATGGTGTCTCGTGCGTCAAGGTCTTTTACGTAGGACACTATGTTTGGGTGGTCCATGGTTCCTTACCCAAGACTCACATTCCTCAATCAAGGCACACAAGTGCGCCACAAATCAATAAAATGAGGGGTTAAGAAATCAGCACATTGTACCAGTGGGCGCGAGGTGGGCGGTCGTCCGCCTGCCAAGCTCCTGCCAAGGACCCGCCAAGGTCCCGTCAAGGACCCGTTGGGGACCCGCGGGAAAGTGACTAGGAATAGTCAATTCCTTTGGGAAAGACCCCAAAAATGCACAGATTCATGTCCTGACAAGTCCCATGCCCTTGTGCACAATAAAAGGGACTTGGATACATAGGATGACCCATCGTACAATGTTCATTGATCCTTAAGCACGAGTTCTAGAGGTAGATATACATACATATATATATATCTATGTTTTCTTGGTCTGGGTTTAAAGGGGTGTAAGAAGTGCAAGGGCTAGGTTTCAAAGTCGAGGGGCAGATAGGGTCGATGTCTCAAGGTCGTAATACAGGAAGGAAGGTTGCCACCTTGTACGGGTTTGTCTGTAATGAGGGATCAAGAGCGAGGTTTGGAGTGATAAGACGGATTCTTTAACGAAATGGTACTTGATTGGCAAGGGGAGGGAAAGGGGCTAAGGACTCTTGGCTTCGAGTGATTATGCCTGTTTGGGGCTTGGTTGTGGCGTGCAGTCGAACTGGTGATCCCTTTTCCTTGGCTTTGTTTGATTCTAAGATTTTCGTTTGATCTTCTCTTCCCGTGTCGAAGTCCCCTTCGCCTCTATGGCTTCCAGGGGAATTCTCGTGATGGTTTCCGTGCACGTTCCCCTCGGATGTCCAGAAGTCTGGACCTAGTCGGTTTAGTGGGTCAAACCCCTAGGTCTTGACTCCTAATCCTTGCCGAGGGTTCTTAAGGGTAAGGGGGGTTTCGGGTTAGTCTTTCTTGTTCTATTGCAAACTTAACATGGCATGCAGATCAAGACAAACTAGATGAATTGCATAATACTATTATAAGGTTTTGTTTCTTTTTCAATGCTATCTGTGGAAAAGTGATTGATCCAGACAAACTAGATGAATTGCAAAATGGCATTATTGTTACATTGTGTCAGTTGGAGATGTATTTTCCACCGTCATTTTTTGATGTCATGGTTCATTTGGTTGTACATCTGGTGCGAGAGATCAGACAGTGCGGTCCTGCTTATTTGAGGTTGATGTACCCATTTGAACAGTACATGAAAGTCTTAAAAGGTTATGTGAGGAACCGGTATCGACCAGAAGCATCTATTGTTGAAAGCTATATTGCTGAGGAGGTAACTGAATTTTGTACTGAATATTTGGCGGGGGTAGAAGCTATTGGTCTTTCTAAGTATCGACATGAAGGAAGAAGTGCTGGGAAAGGTACTCGAGGATGCAAAGTAGCTAGTATGCCTCGTGAAGATATTGAGCAAGCACATTTGTACATCTTGCATAGTACAAGTGAAGTCGATCCATATTTAGATGAGCACAAGGCATTGATTAAAGAGCAAAATCCAAGAAAGACAGACATGTGGATTGTGAGCAAACATAATCGTACTTTTATTAGTTGGTTCAAAAATAAAGTTCTGCGTGCTACTAACTATTCTGAAACAGTAAGATGGTTAGCTCATGGTCCTTGTATGCAAGTTATATGTTATACTGGATATGATATAAATGGATTTTCTTTTTATACAAAAAAACAAGATGAAAAGAGCACTATGCAAAAAAGTGGAGTTTCTTTGGTTGCAAATTCAGTGCACTTCAGTAGTTCGAAAGATAAAAATCCGATCATTGCAGAATTTTCATATTATGGTGTGATTGAAGAAATATGGAAGGTTGATTATGTTCAGTTCAGAGTGCCGATGTTCCGATGTAAATGGGTAGATAGTAAACACGATGTTAAAGCAGATGAGTTATGGTTTACACTTGTCGATTTGAAAAGGGAAGGTCACAAAAATGAGCAAGTCATAATGGCATATCAAACAAAACAAGTATTTTATGTTACTGATCCTAGTGATAAAAAATGGTCTGTTGTTCTTCATGGAAAGAGACAAATTACTGGTGAAGGGAATGAAGATGTTAGTTATGAGATTGAGGAAATACCACCTTTTTCTTCAAGTTTATTACCAGTTATTATAGATAATGAGATAGATGAAGTGCATGCATCACAGGATGATCATCATGAAGGGCTATGGGAGAATTGATTATTATTTGTAATGCTTTAACTTCTTCTTGTGTTTACTATATCTAAATATTTACAGTTATATTTATGTATATATTATTCTTTTGTCAATTCACTAATAATTTCTTGGCTAAACAGGCATATGGATTCATCAAATGACCCCCTATTGATAGTACCACTCAAGCTAAAGGTACTGATACCAAAGCTAAGAAGAGGGGTGCCTCCGTTATGACAAAATTAATTTCTAGGCGTGGTGACACAAACAAGAAATTGATGGTTTAATTTGATAGTAAACACGAAGCTGTTGGAGCAGGGAGCGCCCAATTCAAAAGTTATTTTGCGCTGATTGCATGGAGCAAAGTTCCTATCACATATAAAAATTGGAAAGTGGTCCCAGAAGAGAGTAAAGCGTTGGTGTGGGATGATATCGTGGTATGCAACTTATTTATAAAACTTTTGAATTAATTGTATTTAATTTGTTTCTAATAAATAATCTTGTCTTGCAGAGCGTTTATGATATTCCCACTGATGCGGATCTGAAGGATTCTTTGATGAAATATGCGGGTGAACGGTGGAGAGATTTTAAAAGTAGATTGAACAGAGACTTCATATTAAATAATGAAGACCCAATAAACAATACTCCATGTAAAAAATACACATTCGTTGATCCAAATACATGGAAAAAGTACTTGGAGCTTCGTAAACCTGCAGAGTTTAAGGTATATATTATTATTTTTCTATCAATTATTTATTAACTCAAATATATTAAAGATATATTATTACTTAATGTTTTCTTTTTGTGTAGGAATCAAGAAAGAAACATCAAGAGATACAAAGTAAGAATGTTCATCCACATCATTTAGCCCGAGGAGGCTATAAGAGATTGGAGAAGATTATGATGGATGAGAAGATGAATGAACAAGAAGAAGCTGCAAGTTCAGATCCATCGTCAATAGTTTCTCCTCCATCTCCGCCAGCTAGACATGAAAAGTGGAAGAGGGCAAGAATGAACAAATCAGGAAATATCAACAACGAAGCGACTAGAATGGTCGTGGAAAATATTGTAAGTAATATGTTAAAATTTTCTACATTATTAAGATAGCTAGTAATCATTATTAAATATTGTTTTTATATGTTAGGATTTGCTATCATTGCAAGCTTCTCAAGGAGAGTTTGTTGAGTCCGGTAGACAAGATATATTGTCTAATGCCATAGGTACAAATGAGCATTGCGGACGTGTTAGAGCCGTGGGTAGAGCACATGGCTTAAAAAGCTACTTTGGTCCTGCAAAACGTCGTCAAAGCCAGTCTACACCAGAAGTAAAAGATATGATTAAGATAGTAGTTGCTGGGGCGTTAGCAATTCAAAGAGAGCAATATGAAACATCCTTACAAGCAGCCATTTAAGAGATGAGGGATGAAATTAGTAGTATGAAGACTCCAGCGGCTCAACATGTACCATCAAGGCATGAGGAAGACATGCGTGTAGTTGTCCAACCACATGGTCATAGTGAAAAAGCAAGTTCTCCAGACCCTTTTGTTGATTTACCGGCCGTAAGTAATCATTTATAACTAATCTTATTATTATTTATTAAAAACATTTTAGCTATTTCTTAATATGAATTCATGCAGTTAGGAGCAAGATGTGAATTGTATTTGGAAGATCCCATTAGACGTAAAGTTGCACGTGGGACAGTTTACTAGGCCGAAAGGGTTCACGGGATACAAATACATGTGGATCAAGTGAAGGTCACCGTGACTGAAATTCTCGTGTCAAGTGCAAAGGTACCCTTCCCTACCGATGAGGTTCAACTGTTAAGAGATGCACTGCACAACTTTATTATTTTGCCAAAGAAGTTGGTTGAGTTGTATACCGAAGCTGATGAGGTATGTATTTTCAAAATTTTTGTATTTTAAAATAGTGTTTAATTTACTTTTTTTTAAAATAGTAATTGTTACTTATATTGAACAGGTACAAATGACTTATGATTCCGGCGTGCAACGACCTTCTGTTGATCTCACTATAGCTGGTCCGACTTCTTTGAGTCCTCGATGTCTAAAGGTATATAAAATTGTTCGCAAACTTGATGATAATGTTGTGATAAAGATGGAGCGTGGTATTGTGGGAGATGTTGACTATCCCTTACAACTTGACCCGTCGGAGATTATGCGTTTCTTAAGGATGGAGATGTTAGATGTTTTCATATTGCAGTTCTTTATAAGGTAATAATTAAGTTCTTTACTTATATTGGTTTATATAATATTTTTAATTTTTCATTTCATCTATTATATTACTAATATATATGATTGATTGTATTTTTGAATAGGGGTCTTTATGACAAATTTGATTTGGCATCAAAAACCACATATGGCTTCTTAGATCCACATTTCATTCAACCAGTTTCGAATACTATAGATGAGCGGACAGGGTATATCAACGTCACCATGCAATATGGCCAAAAACAATGCTATCTAGCGCCATATATTTTAAAGTAAGTTTTAATTGTTTCAAATAAAATAACTTATATATAATACATTTTTATTATATATTATATTTACTTACAACTAATACATTATTGATTTGTAGTGACCATTGGATGTTGATGGCAATTTGTCCTCAACTTAATGAAATCTATTGGTTTGATTCAATTGGAGGCCAGCCACGTGATGACATCAAAGATATTGTTGAAAAGTATGTGAACTTATAAGTATTAATATTAATAATTAATAAAGTATGCATGATGTCATAAAGTATTTGTGTATACTAATATCTTATAATTTTAGGTGTGTCAATTCAGCAAAGTTGTTGAGAAGCAATGGATCAACTCGTTCACCAAAATGGATAAAAGTTTTGGTAAGTATTTTATACATTTGTAAAACTACATGTTTTTTTATTGTTTTTTATTAAATAAGATTTTAAATGTAATTTAATTCAAATGTAGTGTGCTCTACAAGTTGGAAGTACGGCATGTGGATATTATGTGATGAAATACATGCTTGAAATTCTTTCCAAAGAAGCATGTGCAGGAATGGATAAGACATGTAATTTAATATAATACCTTTCTTTTTCTAATTTTAAAAATGCTAGCTTACTAATTATTTAATAATTATCAACTTTGTAGATTGTTGAGAGAGTTCGTGGATCGAGCTACATTCAACATGAAATTGATCAAGTAAGAGACGTATGGGCCGACTTCTTTGTTGATGTATGGTTAAGTATGTAAATTGAACAAATTGATATTAGGTTTTGATAATGTTAACTTGTATTATTAATTAGTATCAAATTGTGAGATTTATTACTTGTTTCATTATAAATATTAGATTCTACATATTTTGATGTGGTTGTGGTGCAATAATTGAGCAGGTTTTGGTTGTGGTTGTGAGAAATTGAGTAGGTTTTGGTTGTGGTTGTGGTTGTGAGTAATTTGAGCAGGTTTTTGGGTATAAATGGACAAATAAACTGTATATTAAAAAAACATACAACGTCGGCTATTTATTATTAGCCGACGTTGTATATATATTAAAAATAAAATAAACACTTTACAACGTCGGGTAATTAGTATTAACCGACGTTGTAATATGTTTACAAAAAAAATTAAAACCTTACAACGTCGGCCAATTAGTATTAGCCAATGTTGTATATAATTTTTTGAAAAAAATAAAATACCTACAACGTCGGCTAATTGGTATTAGCCAACGTTATATAGTATTTTAAAAAAAAATATTACAACGTCGGCTAATACCAATTTGCCGACGTTGTAGGTATTTATTAATTAAATTAAAAAATATATATAACGTCGGGTATTTAAATAGCCGACGTTATATATAATATATACAACGTAGCCCAGAACAACTTCGGAATTTAGCCGACGTTAAAAGCCTGCTATGTAGTAGTGGATGCAAGTGAGGAATCAATTGTTAAGGGAACTTTGTCGAACTTGTTTGACATTGATGAAGTACATGAAATGGGAGATGACACACTTTCTAAATCCACTAAGCTTAAGAAGAAAAAGTTGAGAGTCAAGGGATTTTGAAAGATGGATTCAAGCAAAGGAGGTAAACCCCTCGATGATAATCAAAATGCATAATTGGAGCTCTCTAAAGCCGCCTAGCAACCCAAGGTGAAAGAAAAAAATCAAGGTTATCTTCAATGCAGAAGGTTTGGCGGCCAAAGTTGTTTAACCCTCCTTGAAGGATTGAGGTAATGTCGAGCATACGACGTTAAAAATAGCGCTTCTTGGGAGGCAACCCAAGTTATATTGCCTTATGATATTTATATCCTTTATTTGGTTAATCATTGTTCTATTTTGGGTGATTTTATCTTTCTTTGGTATTTTGTGCCCAAGTAATTTTCTAGCACCCCCACAATCTCCCCAAGAATCATTTAAGGAAAGTATCACTATCCATCCTCTTTAATAAGAACCAGTACACATGGAATCCAATAAGGGTCTATAGTGGGCTCATCACAAGACTCAAAACTACATCCTTAAAGAATCATTGGTGGAAGAAACAAGAAGGCCCAATAATAATTCCATTCGATAGAGGAAAGTATTATAGTGGCCCATTTCAAGTGATATCATGGATCAAAGACAATGCTTACAAGATTCGAGGTCGAATCATTTTCAAGAAGGTGAGGATGATGCGGCCCAACATAATGAAGATCCATCAAGAGTACCAATTGGGCCAATCACAAGGCCCAAGTCCAAACGATTAAGACAACTCTTCATTGGTTATATTCAAAGATGGTGGAAATCCAAGTCAAGCCCATTTGCAAAAGATGAAGAAGATTTCAAGGTTTTTTATAATTGTTTAAGTGCTGATTTTGGTGATTAAATTAGGCCCAAATCAGCCCTATTATTTTTGGTCATCATTAATTTAAATTGTTTGGCATAAAAGAGAAAACACTAGTTGTATTTAGAAAGGATTCCTTAAATCCTTGTCTAAATAAAACTCTATTTACTTGTTTTCTAGATTAGGTTTAGGACTCTTTTTCCCATTGTATTTAGATTACAATGCTGCCCTATACCTATAAATAGGGCACATCCATATCAGTTTGAAACAGGCTTTAATTCAATAAAATTCTTAAGTTTTTCTTTACACTTGTGTAAGAAACCTTATGGCTAATTGTGGACTCAATTAGTGGCTAGTCGTGGACTCGACTAGCAAATTGATTCGTGGACTCGAATCAATCTTACTTTCTTCAACCTTAGATTTAGGTTCGTGGACTCGTTCTTGAATCGAAGGAAACTAGATCCGACTCTAGTTGATTGAAGATTGCAACATCAAGGTACTTGAAGCTACATGGGATTCTTCCAAGTCTTTGAGGATTCGAGACAAAGGGTTTCTCTTGAGGTTTAAGGTATTTTGATCCATCTCTATCTTTACTTTGAGAGCACTCTTGGGACAATACTCCATCTTATTTGAATCTTGGATTAGGCTCATATCAATTTGGTATTCAGAGCCTAGGTTTATCTCATTCTTATCTTACATACTTCTTTTTTTTTTCTTGTCTTATTCATTAAAAAACCCTAAAAAAATTTCCTTTGCATTCTTGATTGTGTTCTTGAATCTTGATACATGTTTTCTAGTTTCTTGAAAAACAATCCCGAAACAATTTTCCCTTTTTCCCGTCCTATATCAACGAGACCTCACACCTCCTAAGCACCATATTACCATAAATTCTGTCAAGAAAACAACCCCATCTCACCCTTACCTATTTCCAAAGCACATTTACTCAAAATAACGACGCAATCATACCCTGTCCAGATTTCCGCGTTTTGTGACCAGTTTCAAAGAATGAACTATATCTCGAGATCCACTTGTCCGATTTATATGAAATTTTGATATGTTATATATATCTTCTGGGGCTTTCGTTTGATATATTATGTACTATCTAATTCATTCTGGTCATTGAGATATTGATCTTCAAAGTCAAGGCAGCGTTACTGTTTTTCTGGGTGATTCTTGAAATTCTTGATTCTATTTTGAAGGGGTTGTGTGGATCCTTCTTGGTCCGAAATTTTTGTTGATATTTACAGTAGTTATTTGGGGGTTACTTATCAAAAAAAATTTTAAAAAAATATAGAAAGTTGAAAAAAAAAACAAAAAAAAAAAAGAGAAAGCAATAAAGAAGAAGAATAAGGTTGGGGAAAGAATCTGGTTGGAAGGAGAATTTTGGGAGGAAAGGAAGAGGAAAGTATAAGGTTGGAAGGATTTCTTGATATATTCCTATTTGGTTGTGGTACACTTAAACCCCTATTACATTCTATTTGTGTCTATCTTCTGATATTGGTCCTGCATATCTTTCTGTCATACTTCTTTCTTTGCTTCCCTTTTTCTTTCAAATCTTGCTTAGTTTCTTTGCTTGTATTGTCCTTTTTCTTTGCTTCTTGCTCTCAATTTTATTACCTACCTCGGGATACACCCTTACTCTCAAAGGCTTGTGAAGTTTTCCAAGGTGCATTTTCTTGAACTTTGAGGTTGAATCCATATCAACTTGAGTTCCGGACTAGAAATTTTCCTTTTCGGAAAAAGGCTTGTGAGAGTATTAGCCACCTGGAGTGATACACGAGAGGAGTGTGTGTTTGTAAGAGTGTGTAGTGATCCCCAAGAGCCATATGATCCATCTCTTACCCGTGAGCTGAGAATAGTGAGGGAGCGAGCCAACTTTTTGGTTTCACTAACATGAATACTCACATATCTTCTTGTTTTTAGATTTTGATTCTCATCTACAGATGGCTGAAGAGGTTCCAAACACACGTAAGAGATTAGAACAAAAAATAGACAGGTTACTCAAACGAGTGACTAATTTGGAGCAACACTCATAGCAAGTGCAACCACCACACAATGGTGAGCGACACCTGCCACCAGCAGGAATAGTGGATCCTAGATGTCAAAGGATCCCGCAGCGTAATGCGGAGTTAGGAAACATTAAACATGAAATTCCTAACTTCACCGGTGAGAAAGGACATACCGAATACATAGAATGGGAGAATGCTATTGAAACTCTTTTTTATTTAAAGCACTATTCTGATCTTACAAAAATTAGGCTAGTTGCTACATCTTTTAAGGGGTATGCTTTGTCTTGGTGGCGAAAAAGTAATAGAGAGAGAGTTGCTAATGTTATTCCCTATGAATCTTGGGTTCAAGTGAGGGAAGATATGCGCCTAACCTTTCGTCCTACATCTTTTTTCTATGATCTTGAAAGAAAATTGCAGGGAACGGTGCAAGGAAAAAATTCAGTTGATGAGTACTACCAAACTACAAATATTTTGCTTAAACAGGGAGACATACATGAAGAAGAGACAAAACCTGTTGCTCGTTTCGTACATGGATTGAACTTAGAAATTCGATGTGGAATGAGTATTCAGAGATATGACACCCTTTATGATGCCTTGTATGCTGCACGTGAATCTGAGGCAAAAATCAAAGAGATGAAATTGTACAAGTCCAACAATGGTGCATCAAGATGGAACAACACAAGTTCCACCCCTAAAAGGCGTGATAAACATCCCCTTCCAAGAGATGATTCACGAGACAAAGGTAAGGAAAAGGTAAGTGAGGCAGTGAGGCCTCAACATGATAGAGAATTGATTTGTTATAGATGTAATGGGAGAGGCCACATAGCTCGCGATTGCCCTAACAAAAGGGTAGTTAAGATAACAAAACAATCTAAAAATTTTGCTTCTTGTCTTGAATATAAGTCTAAGGATGAGGTATGTGACCATTTTGAAACTCTCAATGAACATGTTGAGGGAGAACCATTCATACCTTTAGATTCTGATTCTAAATATGTTGCTAGTGAGTCTAGTCATACTGTTGTTGTTAAGGAGGTTTTGAATG